AGGCATGAAAGTAGAGTGGGGACTTGATGAGAGGAAGGCAAGGATAGTGAGGGTACAAAAGAGGCCACAAGAGGATGGAGGTAAGTCTGGCCAGAATGTGATATATGCATGTTGGAAATTGTCAAAGAATAAGTGAAGTATTTTTTAAAGCGCCCTCAAACTTCCACTCAGCCTCTCCCAAAGCCACAGTCAATGGGAGATAAATGTAAAAGAAATTCACCTTCTATAAGGCAGAAGTGGAATGAATGTCTTTAGAAGAGTGCAGAATTCTGAACTGACATTTTACAATAATTATCTAATCGAGTAGGTCTCCATTATTTCTAAAATTAAGCTATATGGTTGTTTGTCCTCCTTACAGAAAAGGACAGCATGATTATTTAGGAGGTGTGAAGCAGGGAAGAAAGCAGCCTGCCTCTTCATTACTTCAGCCAAATGTGTTTGAATACATAACGTCCCTATCCTCAAGAAACCAGTAGTCTGGGATGGAGGGTGGAGTGTGTGGGGCAGATGATACGGATGATCATACATAAGCATTTGTAGAAGAGGGGGTCACAAACTCAGCAAGGTGTCAGCTCTAAATTACACAACAGGACAAAGGATCCCCAAGTTACATCATGAAGTTGGCACTTCCAGCATGGGGAAGGGAGTAAAAACAGGACTAGCAAAGTAAGATGGCCTGAGACAGGATAGCTCTGGAAAATGCCTGAAGCTACAATGTGGTTTATGGAGGGGGTGAGCATAAGAGGCAAGTCAGGGGAGTCAGGCAATGGCCCAGGAGGTAGCCGGCTTGTTTGTTTGTTTCAAGTAGGCAAAATTCTTCCCATTCATGCCATAGAAGGTGGGGAGATTGAAATAAATAAATTTGTTTTAAGTGCTTATGAACTGTAGAGACTTCATGGGAAGGGGTAAACCTGGAGAAAGAGCAATTAGGAAGTGATTAGTGTCCCAGGGAGGAGATGGCAGCATCTCAGGAAAGAGCAGGGCCACAGTGCTGAACGAAGCGAGTGCATATCACAGAGTCTTAGCAGACGAGTCTAAGGTGATGAGAAAGAAAAATAAAAGACTGATCCCAGCCCTTCACCGGAGGAAGAGGCTGAGGGGAGGGGAGACTGAGGGGCAGGGACTACAAAATGGGGTAGGCTGAGTGCAACTGATGCTATGAAGCCCTGAATCCACATCTCCTCCAGCACACTAACAGTATCTCTGCCCATGCTTCTTTTATGTCCACCTTGTCATGCATGTTTTATAAAGGATAAAGAAGGGACAAACTACTTCTCTTCTGAACCTCAGTTCCAACCTACAGAATGAAATGACCAGGCTCCCTGGGACAGAGAAGTTTCCTCCTCCACAAGATGAACAAGTTTGCCACAGTTTTGCTTAGCTTTGGTCACCTGTAATCTGCATGGCTTGTTTTGCTAAGGAGACTCTGAACCCCCAGAGGGTAAGACTGCTCTGTGCCCTGTGCCCTGTGCCCTGTGCCCTGTGCCCTGTGCCCTGTGCCCTGTGCCCTGTGCCCTGTGCTCTGTGCTCTGTGCCCTATGCCTGGTGCTCTGTGCCCTGGTATTTTCCACCAGCTGTTGAGATTCCATCAGGACTGTCAGTTTTTGTGACTATGAGTCAGATTTCTTCTCATTATCCCCATCATCCTTCTACTACAGAGCTCCCAGATGCGGGACACAGAGCCCATTACCCCAAAACACATTATCAAGTGTGCCATCTTGGACTGGACATTTTCTTATTCAGTACCTCACTAGGCAGCACTTGGAATCAAGGAGGAGAAAGAAAGTTAACAGGAAAGAACACATGGCTGGAGTCCACCTGCCTCTGAATTTGAATCAAGAATTCTGGTCCTGTGTCTTAATAAGTGTGGTGTATTATGATGTGGTGTGGTGTGGTGGTGGTGGTGTGTGTGCGTGTGTAAATATACATTCATTCAAGAAGCTCAGCTATGAGTCTCACTGTATGGTATATGTCTGTGTATGTGCTTGTACTTAAAGAGCAATACATATGATAATATACATGTTAGCATTGAATATCAACACCTGCATGCATGCTTCTGTTTGCTAATTCATATCTGTTTATGTGTGTCAGTGAACATTGAACACATGCACATGTTTTCTTTAGGCACATACATCTATGATGTAATATATATATATATATATGTGTGTGTGTGTGTGTGTGTGTGTGTGTGTGTGTGTGTGTGTGTGTGTGTCTATGTGTCATATGAAGCTGTGCTATTCTGTGTGTACTGTCTTAATTGAGGCAGAACAGATCATTTAACTAAGAGCATGTGCTCCAAAGTCTGCCTACCTGGGCAAAATGCCTGACCTCAGCTTTTTAAGTTTATAATTCCCCACCACAGAGATGGTTTATTCATCTTTAAATTGAACAGAATAATTATGCCTACTTTTGGTATTTAATGTGAATGTAGGATTTCCTTAGTGCATGTTAAAAGTTTTGATCATTATAAAGTTATTCATGCTAGTAACAAATATGTAAATGGTTGCTCTAGAGAATTTAAGTATGGCTTTCTGTATGTGAAGATATGGCCTTCTGCACATGACCATAACAACCTTAGTATGCATATCTATTAGAATTTGTATGATAGTATGGACAGAAGCAGTGAGATGCACAGGACTGGAAAACAAGGATGGGCATATAGTACTTGAGTGTGATATTCTCAAGGATGTTCTTGCAGAACCCATCTGAGGGAAAGAACTGTGTCTCATTTATTATCTTAGCTAGAACCAGGGCCTGAGATTTAGCAGATTTGGTGACCAAGTGACCAAATGAACAAAGTGGAAGGACTAATCAGAGACTATTGCTCAAATAGCATGTTCATTTGTAGGAAGAATAAAAAACAGGTCCATTTAGTTACGGAGCTAGCTGTATGACATATAGGTTGATAGATAAGTTGATAAGTAGATGAGATGGAGGGCTGGATAGATGATAGATACAGACAGCAGGTATTTGTACATCCAAGCTTGGATCTAGTTGGGTGGAATTCTGTTGACTCTTGAGATACTCAAGTTTGTATTTCCCAGGAAGCCCCAACATTTTTTTCTTGGTAGCTTTATGTGTTATTTGGGACTATGAGGAAAAGGGAGTCACACATAGAAAAGCTAACTCTCCTAACTAATAACAAGAGCCTGTTTTGCCTCTATTGGTGTTCATGTAGAAATATACTGAAAAGAAGAATTGTACCACTTAAAAGATTTAAGAACCTTTCTCCAGCCCTAAACCTTTCATTCTACCAAGTAGAGAAACTGGGCCATAGAGGGGGAGATGTTTATGACGTCCAGACCACTGATGTAGAACAGTTCATACCATACCATCTCACTTAGAATGCAGCAGATATGGACCTTGAAGCTTACAGAAAAACAGAAGGTGCTATCATAGTGGCCTGTAGGATGCTGAAGAAACAGACTCATTTGTTTGAGACACACCCATGAAATTAGTTTCATAGGCTGCTTAGTGTCAATTGGTCCCACATCCTGACTCAAACAGCAAACTGAGCTGTCCTAAGGCCGTGTGAGTATGGGACAGCAAGATACTAGGCCATTGCTGCTGCTCTCCGAACTAGGAAGTTATGTGCAACTGAAATGCAGGAGACACACAAAGATGAGCAGGTGTACCAGCTATGTAACTCCAGAAAAACTGACAGATGGAAAGATGGACAAACTGGTGATCCTGGGAAGACGATGCCAGTGGAAGGCATCCTCCATAAGGGAAATCTTATTATTATGGTTGATAATTAAGACTGAGCTAGCATATAAGAAATCCTAGTCAATTGGCCAGCAGCACTGTAAACTAATACAAGACTCTGTGTGTTATTCTGGGTGCCCATGTGGCGGCAGGGCTCAAGTGGCTTTGGTGGAAAGACATCGATACAAACTGGTGTCTAATGGCTTTTCCCATCTGAATCCTAGTGTGTATGCAACTAGGATGTACTCCTTGCCCCTGTGCTTCTTGCTCCAACATCATCACATTATTTAATATAATCTCTAGAAATCTAAATCAGTAAGGCTAGAATCTGATATACCTATAATTATTCTCCCCTTTGCCTGAGTTAGTTGGAGTGAGTCTCTGTGTTTTGGAACCACATCCTGTCTGAACAAGGCTTTGCACTGGAAACTCAACAGATAGTCATGCTTAGCACCTAGGCTCTGACTCTGGCTTCTATTGTTCTTCCAGAGACTTCATGTGAAGCTGTGAGGAAAGGAAGTATTCTTCATTGGTCAAGTATTTGTAAAGTAGTTGTGCTAATCCATTACAAGTCTTCCAGAAGGGACATTACCTATCTTCTAGGTTTTGTCACTGGAGTCCCACAACAGGGTTTGATGCATCATTCTCAGTCTAGCTTAGTCCTCCCGAGCAAGCACAATGATAACAGCAAGTGCTGTTCCCCAGGGTGATGGCAGTGCTGCATCAAAATAAAGTGGTTCCTCCATTATTCAGGCCCCAAGTGTAGAGATGTGTGTAGTTCTAGGTACCATTGGTGGAGGGCATAGAGGAGTAGTGGTACCAGTCTCCCTTTTGAGAGTCCTCACTTCCCTCCTCACAATTACATGTCCCCCATGCATCTGTTTAGACCAGAATGAAACACATCAGAGAGAATCAATGCAAGGGTCAATGTGTTTCAATTCAGCAGCTGTCAGAACAGGAGACGTATAGGAAGAATCATGGATACCCCACCCACTAAAAGGACACCTCTGTCCAAGAGTTACCAACATACATTGTACTTCCACTAATCACTAGTACCAAAGAGGCACCAAGTGGATTTAGGTTCTCTTCCCAAGCCTCACTAATGAGTGAGGAAGTTGGCAGTAAACAAGCTGGCAGGGCCTCAGCATGAGGAAAAGAAGAGTATAATCCAGTCTAGCCTTGAACCAGGGCTGTTCACATGATACGCAGAGGGAACCAGCTCTACCAAAGGGTGGATAAGAGCCATTGCCAGAAGGAAGATCACAAGCTTCTAGGCCAGATGCCCAGCTTGTCTCTCAGAAGAGCTGAGCCAGGAAGACAGGCAGGAAGAGCATGGGCCAGGCCATCAGGAACCCTGAAACACAAGAGACATGAGTCAAATGCCTAGCTTTGGAGCTTAGCAGCCAATGCCAGCTGGCTTCCTTGTCACTTGCTGTAGAAGAAGAAGGCAGCACAGCCCCAGATTTGGTTGGGACAACAACTGTTTTGTTTTTGTTTTTGTTTTTGTTTTTTTCATTTTCTTCTGGGCACATGGGAGGCAGTTTTCTCAGCCTTCTTTGAAGATAGGTGGTACCACATGACTAGATCTTGTCTAGACATAAGGATCGAAATTATAAACTTCATGTGTAGGACTAGTCATAAAAAGCCTCCCCCATGCTCTCTTGTTTGCCAAGTTCCAAGATCTGACTCACAGAACACAGTGATATTACCAGGAATTACCAAAGGGTAGGAAGAGCCTGGTTTTCTAAGAACTTCCTAGATCAGAGATGTATCCCCTAGTACAAAGGCATAGAGGATTTGGGGTTATTGTTTATAGCAGCTAGTGTTACTTACAGTGACTAATGATGAAGATTCAGGAAGGATTGGAATGCATTATCTCTAAGGCTTGACTATTTAGCTAGGAATCTCAGTTCTGCAACTACCTGGGTTGCCCTGAACAAGACATTACACTTCTCTGTGCCCAAATTTCCCAATGTACAAAATGTAACTATTAATGGCACTCATTGATTTATCAGATTTCATAAGGTTTAAGTGAATCAATTCATATCAAGCATTTAGTATAGGATCTGTGGCCTAGGAACTATAGCTCAGTGGCAACAAGCTCACATGGCAAATGTGTGGCTTTAGGTTCAATCTCTAATGCTGTAATAAGATAAAATATAAAATATGTGCCTAGCATGTGATGTGGTATTATATATGAGTGTTGGTTTTGAAAATTAGACTTTGATATCTAGGAATGTGTGTGTGTGTGTGTGTGTGTGTGTGTTCTCTACACTGTTAAATGTTCAGTATTAAGGAGGGGGAAATATTGGACGACAGTTTTCTTGTATAAGCATGTCAACACCTTTGAGACCACTACAAATTACAGCATCATCTCCCCACCCCAACAATTCAAAGTCATTGATGATGTCCTAGAGAGTGGAGAAGTAAAGGTGTGATTTTCAGAAACACAAATGTGTGACAGAGTTTTTACAATGAGACTTGGATGGTTGCTCAGCTAATCCTGAAGCATCAAAAGTGATTCCAAGTGATTGCAAACTATGAGAACCACAGAGCCCTCTTGTGGCAGCTTGTTCCCTCTCCGCAGCTCCATTCCTCTCTTCTAGAAGGCTCCAATATCTGCATCCCACCCCAGAAAGTTCTGGTCCATGTGCCAATCTAAAGGAGTAGTGTAATGAAGGAGACTTGAGGCCCCTGACTTCAAGGCACTTTTACTCTATGCTCTGTGCATCTTACACAGTGAGTCTTATTTTTCTGAATACCATCTGAAGTTACCACTGAACTGTACTTATTTGGGAAATATTTGGAGTGCCACAGAGTTGAGGGTTTGAACACAAAAAGAACATTTTCCTGTCTATGTTCACTAATATCTGTCTTCCAGGGGATAGAAAAAATACTTTTCTCACCTTGTCCAAAGCACATTCTTCCATATCTCTGGTCTTAAATTCTAAGTCATTCATCAACACCCCACTTAGATATCTGTGCTATGTGAAACTCTTGACCATCTCTGGTATAGTTAATTAGGTTTCTATGAATTCCTGCTCTGTCCACCTGTTTGTCACCTAACAGCTTATGCCCTGTTTCATTTATTTAGTCAGCAATTATTGCCTCTGCCTGTAGGTTTCCATTCACCTAATCCCTATCTAGGAACATTTTCTTTCTTGGCCAAATGTCATTTCTTCTAACAGTTCTGACCCACTCTATCCTCTCACTTTGGTCATTAAACCATCAAACACTGTTTGTGCACATGGCCATCCAAAACAAAGATTTCATTTCTTTTGCAGCCAGGTGTAGTCATGTAGATAGATAATAAACAATGAGATATAAATGGAGGTGTGAGATTCCAGCTGTCAGAATTTTCTATAATACTCATTGAGTTACTTCGTGGTCATCCATCTTGAAGCCTGACTGTTATCTCGGACCATAAAGATGATGGCCACACCTGAAAGAGCAAGCTGGAAGAAGCTTGAATCTTTGATTGATGGCTAAATCATAGATTTTCTTACACAAAGATTTCCCTTATGTGTTTGAGAAATAAACTTCCTTTTGATTTAAGACTTTATTACTTATACCTGTAGCCTCCTATCGAGCCACTCATATTTTATTTCTAATTGAATTTTGTTTTTTAATGTCTATTTCTTACCCTGGAACATAGGCTCTATGAGGGCAGGCCTCTGGCCTACCTTGACCAGCAATGCATTATCAGTCCCTAGAAAAGTTACTGGCACAGAGCAGCACTTGGTAAACACTTGCTATTAAGCAAGTATCTCCTCTGCTAGATTATAGAACCATTCTTGGGTTAGCATCATTTCACTAGCCATGGTACAGGATCAGGGCCTGGCACACTGAAGGGGATGCATAGATGCCCAGAGGGCTAGAGGATGGAAGGAAAGAGACTAGGCAGTGCTGTGAGAAGCATAAGGAGGCCATGTACCTGCAGTGCTGGGAGTGCCACTTGAGGTATCAAGAGTCTGAGCACCTGTGGGCAAAAGAAGAAGGTGAGCGTCTCCTCGGCCATGCTCCGATGACTGCTCCCATCCCTCCTGGGACATGATCAACACCCCACCAGCTATCCTTACTGTGGGACCTTTGTTATCTGGCAGGCACATATCTAAGCACATTCAATGCAGCTTCCACCTCATTTCCCTAATGGATTTGTGAAGAAAGCATCTTCATCTCTCATTTGGCTGGTGGGAAGACAAGCTCAGTGATGTCAAAGAACTTTCTACATTGATTTTTTTTCAGACACTATCAGAGCTGGGATTCCAACTCCAGTATGATGATTACTTTCCATAGTCAACTAGAAAGGGTTGAGAGGTGCCTAGGAGATGGCAAAGTACAGTTGTGGTTGTGAAGGATTTTGCAGAGATCAACTGAAAGAGTAAAAGACTTCCCTGAATGTGTGTATTCTGTGAAGGGTTTTGCAGAGATCAACTGAAAGAGTAAAAGACTTCCCTGAATGTGTGTATACTATTCTATAGCTTGGAAGTGTTGGTGGGCTAAAGGGGAAAAGGTGAAAGCTCCATGGACTCTCTACCTGCCCCTGCTTCTCTCTCCCTCCCCTTCCCCTTCCTGATTGCAATGAATTGAACAGCTTTGTTCTACCTCATTCATCCCCTGTGACATTCTGCCTGGCTAAAGGCCCAGAACATGGAGGAAAGCCACCATGGACCAAGACCTCTGAAATCATGAGCCCTAATAGATCTTTCCTCTTGAATTTCCTCAGCAATCCAGTCACAGCAACTAATAGCTAACAAAACTGTGAGTTTGTTTCCACTCTGGATGCCCATAATCCCCCTTCCTCAAGCTGTCCTATGACACTGCATAAGCCTAAGTTGTCCTGTGACATCACACAAAACTTTAAGTTGAGAGGTCAGTAAGGGTCAGGACCACTCAAGGCAGATCTTCTTCATGAGACAGCTCAGCTTGTTAAGTCCAGAAGTAGAAGAGGAAACAGTACTGACCTCCAGAGGCTGCCACAAGCAGCCAAGCTGATGATACATATAAAGCTATTCAGCACAAAGAGCAGGTAAAAATATTATTTAACGAGAATTAACATCATTACATCTTAATTTCTTCAAGGCAAATTTTTTTTTCTTTTTTGGTAGGAGGATTTCTTGACTCCTCCATTCATGTGGAAATAAAAAGCATAACAGTACTATCCATACTTGTGTAGATGAATGAGGAGTTATAGAATGGTTGTATAGCTTCCTCTGTATCCTATCTCCAGAGGATGGTGGCTAAATTTTGGAAAGCACATCTGCCCTAATGAATTACAGGACCCTGTGTAAGCTTCAGGGAAAAGCAGTGAAATCCAGACTCATCTGGGTTCCTTCTAACTCCTGCCCCTCATAAGCAAGTAATCTTAGGTGAATCTATTGATCTCTCTGAGCCTTGGATTCTAACCAACTAAATGGACAAAGTCATGGGAGGATTAAGCATATTGATGAATGCAAGAGTTCCACCTAGTTTCTAATACATAGGCACCACCATAAATGCAAGACAGTTCCACCTCATATAAAGACACATTCTGCAGTGATGGGCTGAGTGAGAGAGCAGAAAAACCCAGGGTGGCTAGCATTGGTGATCCCAAGCATCTATAGTTAATTATCAGCATTTGGACAGCTGTCCTTGCACCAGGACTCATCCACTTACTTACCTGTCTTAGCGATGGGTCCTAAATCTAGAACCTGGGCTAAGTTGATGCCTGGTCCATTTCTGCGGAGTTGACTTGTAGAGCAAGTCTGTGGAGACATAGAACTCTTGTTATATCAAAATGTAAGTACCCAGTCCCTATGCGCAGGTTGCCATGGGTATGGACATCTGTGGTTCTGTGGCCTAAGAACTTGGATATCCCACTGTATGACCTTCTCTTTGATGCTGATGTTTCTTTCAACCATGAGAATTCACAGTCATGACTTAATATACCTGGTTTGACTCTCATCTATATCTTCTATTGCATAATTGGGGACACATGTCTGTTTATGATCAAATAGTTCATATCTGGTTTTCTTTAGCTGTTCATTCATTCATTCATTCATTCATGTATGCAAGCATGTGAGGAGGTCAAGGATTGACATCAAGTGTTTTTCTATATTGCTGTCACCTTACTTTTTGATACAAGGTCTCTCAGTGAACCTAGAGCTTGTTCTTTTGTGTAGGCTGGCAATCTAGTGAGACCCCAGAATCCTCCTGTCTCTACCCTCCCAGGACTTAGATTATAGACACATGCAAACATCCTAGTTTTCATATGGGTTCTGGGAATCCAAACTCAGGTTCTTGGTCTTATATAGAAAGCATTTTACTATTCAGATCTCCCCAGTCTTATACATTTGGTTCTAAACATTAAAATGAAATGTAACAGAAACATATAGACACATTGTAAGCACCCAAGAAACATCAGCCATTCAAACAGTGCCCATTAGTAGTAAAAGTATGGGCATCTGAGTCACAGCTCAGATGGGGAACATCCCAATTTTGATGCTCTAGCCCTGTGTGCTGCTGTGTGTTTGGGACTTCTCTGAGCCTCAGTGTCTTCATCTGCATAGTGAGGCTTGATTAAAGGCCAGTGTGAGAGCTCAGGTAGATAGAGAAGTGGGAGCTTTGATGCAGAGCCTGACACAGAGAAGGGACTGAAAAGCCCTTACACGGGGTCACATTCATCCCTCATTGAAAGCCTGAGCTCCAGACATATTCAGCATTTGGGAGTTTCTCGGATTTTGGAACATTCACAGTCTTTACAAGTTAGTCATTTATAATCTGAGAATCTGCAACCCAACTTTTTCCAAAGTCTGAAAAATTTTGAGCTTCATCTTGTTCCTTAAGAATTTTAAGAAGTTGGAACATTTACTTTAGGCTAAAATATCAGCAATAACATATTTGAAATATTTGAATCAATAATGCTCAACCTGTAATATGATAATTATTCATAATAGATGTTATGTCAAGGAAAGCTAATCTGCTAATTGTTGTGAAGAGACAACAATTGCTCATTATTGGGCAATTGGGCATGCTCAAAGTCTATCTGTCCATCTTTACTCTCTTCTCTTCCTTATATCCAGTCACTCATCCATCTGTCTTTCCACCTTTTCAGGCATCCATCCATCCATCCAACCAACTTCCTTCCTCCTCTCCATTTTCCCTCCATTCTTCCTCTCCTCTTTCCCCTTCCTTCCATTTATACATTTGTCCATCCTTCTTTCCATCTATACCTCCATCTGTTAACCCAATAAATGTATGTGGGGAGCCAACAGGGGACCAGTCCAAAGAGACACTCACTGGTTCACACTCTTCTTTAGTGGAGTCACACAGGTAAACCTCACAATGCAGGAAAACTAGGTCATAATTTCCAGAAAACATGAACATCTGTACTGAGAATCGGCTTTCTGAGGATACTCCATTCTCCTCCACATTGATGGTGGAATCACGTTGATTTGGGCAGCTAGGAGAATGAAAAGGGAAAAGGTGTAGCTTTTGATATGAGCACTTAGTGAGGCTACTGTGTGCATTTCTCATTACAGATCTTGGCACACAGCTGAGATCAGGGATGAATATTAACAAGTACCATTAATATTTGAACTGTGACCTCTGGTAGACATTTTCTTTGTTTTATCATTAAATGACATTCAGTAATATCCTGTCCTATGTTATTTGTAATATCATGTTCACTTTAATCCATGTAAACATCTATATAATGGTCCATTAACTCAATTGAGCTATATTTTAGCAGTAAACTCAATGGAAAAGCTATGAAGAATACTGAAATGGAAAATGATTTGCATTTCTGTACCCCCATTCATCCAGTTTGTTTTAATACTTTTGGCTAAAATATCAGGAATAACATTCCAAGATCAAACAGAATGCTTGTAATATGTTATGGCAAATTATTTCTAAATGAAGTGAACCAATTTACACCTCGGCCAGCAATGGATGAGATAATATTTTTACCCAAAACTTAGCTATGGAAAAAAACAAGTAAACAAAAACCAACTAATCCTGGAGTCTCCTGATACCTGTCTCTAATGATGAAGTACTTCACGGGGTCATTCCTGTCGTTTGTCGGGGTGGCATAGCAGTTCCTCAGCAACAGCTTGAATCTGGAGGTGTCTCCTTTCTCCAAGATGGCACCCACATAGAGCAGAGACTCCACTGGAAGCACCACTTTGGCCCCTTCGTACGGGTGTGTGTAGCTCTGGTCTTGGAAGAGGGCCATCCTGACAGTGAACTCTCCTTCCCCACTCACATCAATATTCAGAGAACTGAAACAAGGGAAGCAACAAGAGTGGAAACATCAGGCTTTAACCAGAAAAAAAGCGAATAAACCAAGTCCTACACTAGTATAAATTTATGGGGTGGGGGGAAGATGCATCTCTGACCTCTAAATGAACTAGTTGATAATCCATTGAAACAGATCACTTATTGGCATCTAAACTCTGAGCTTGACAGGCAGGCAAGCCTGTGTCCAGAATTTGCACCCATCCCCTCCCCACCCCCATGTGGCAGCTACATCAAGCTTTTACTCAAGGAACACAGGTTTGGACACAGCACCATCCTGTAATCTACGCAATGGGACTTGGGATCAGTTCTTAACAGGCTCACAATTTTTAGCTTTATGTCTCTCCTCTCCACCCCGCAATCTTCAGCTGAACCAGTTTGAACAAGATAAATGACTTTCATCTTTATATTTATGAACATGGGCTCCAACTGATGTAACCCGAAAACCTCTGAACTTTGACATTTTTAATCCTTCTCATCCTGCAATTCTGTGAGCCCAGGAAGCAATCAGGGGAAGGCACAGGCACCATGGATTTCTAACTGACAGTTTAGAAAAATCTCTTGGCAATTATAGAGCTGTATAAAACCTAGTTCAATAAGCCTCATTCCAGGCATAAAGGTGCAGTGATAAACAAAATGCAAACAAAAGTCTTATCTGGATCCAATCACACCCAGACTGCTGTTCCTTCCTTCCTCCCTCCCTTCCTTCCTTCCTTAACTTCTTTTTTTTTCTTTCTTTCTTCCTTCCTTCCTTCCTTCCTTCCTTCCTTCCTTCCCTTCCTTCCTTAACTTCTTTTTTTCTTTCTTTCTTCCTTCCTTCCTTCCTTTCTTTCTTTCTTTCTTTCTTTCTTTCTTTCTTTCCTGAGACAGGATTTCTCTATTTAACAGCCCTGGCTGTCCTGGAACTCACTCTGTAGACCAGGATGGCCTCGAACCCACAGAGATCCGCCTGCCTCTGCCTCCTGAGTGCTGGGATTAAAGGTGTGTGCTGCCAGCGCCCAGCTCTGTTGTTTCATTTTATTTCGCATGAGTATAGGTGCTGCTTCTTTAAAGGTAGATTTGGCTTAAATCTCAAGCCTGCAGGAAAGTCTCCCTGCCCCCTCTCGATCTCTGTCCCACAAAAATTGGGTCTGGGACCCATGTCCACTGACCCGAAGCACCCCATGCTTCTCCTACATCACATTGTCTGATTTGCAAATGATTATCAATTATAACTATGACTAGTTGTTTGCTGCCTTTCTCCTCAAGATGAATGAACTTGTTTGAAGTTTTGTTTCCTGATCACATTTTAAGTACAGCATCACTTCATAGTAAAAATCTTTACTGTCCACAGTGCCTTGATCATGTTGAATGTTCTTAGCTACAATACAGAAATTTGGTAAGTGGAAGCTCCCCAAGTGGGGTGGTAGCACTGTGTGGGCATCATATAGTGTGTGTGTGTGTGTGTGTGTGTGTGTGTGTGTGTGTATGTGTGTGTGTGTGATCATACCTTACAATAGGCTGCAGCGCAATTTGGAGGCTGGTCTTCATGTCCAGTGGGTAGGTGCACTGGAAGTTGACATTGACGAGGAAGTCTCTGATAATGAAATCAGTGGCCAAGGAGAGTGTATTTCTATAGATGGCATGGGTCCCATTGTTCTTTGGCATAAAAATGAAACCATATGTGTTTATAAGATGTGTGTAGGTGTATATCAAACTCAGATCTGTCTGTTTCCATAGTCAATGTTCCCAGCCATGCAGCCACCCTGAATTCAGACCCCCCCCCCCCCCCAGAAAGGGGGGGGCCCTTTTCTCCTGCATCGCTAGCACTTACGGGAAGCCTAGGGTAAGCACTAGAAAATGAATGTTTAATACTGAGGAAGAGTCAAGGGCTGACATGCTTGCTCTTCCCATACAACCAACCCTAATTAAGATCATCATAATCAGAGCTGACTTTATGAAGCTCAAGTGTTAAGCCCAGCCTAAACTCTTTACCATGGACCTGCATGTGTAAATGCACATAACCCTGGAGGCCCAAAGAGGATAAGACATTTGCCTATAATCTCACAGCTATGAAGATGCTCCCACTAACCCAAATCCCACCCTCTACTAGCAATGGTGTGAATACCACCTACCTCCAGAATGTTCCCACAGGCACTAGCCACAACAGGGCTGGTGATGGACACCCAGTTGTTGGGCTCATTTTGCATGATTTCCCTGCAGTTCCGGTCATTCAGGTAGGCAACGATATTCTCCTTGAAACCCAGACCTCCCAGCAAACACTTGTCCAGCTTCACCTTGATCTCATTAGGTCCACAGTCCAGCTCAGGCTGCAAACTCTGAATATCTAGGAAGCCAAGGGTGCGGTCAGTGGAATGGACAGGGAATCACAAACAAAATAGAGCATCTACACTCTCTGTCTTTTGGCAAATCCACCATGCCCATCAAGTTGCAGAATAGACTAGATGGGATCTGAGAAACCCACAGAGGTCATACTCAGGCTGATAGAGGTCTCTGATTGAAGACTTCCAAGTGTCTTGGGTACAGGACTGGCTTAGCTGCTCTTGGGAAGCCAAAGTAGTCCTGTATTCTACACTAGACAAAGCCGGATCCCGGTGCCAGAGCCACCTGTTGATACAATGTTTCAGCAGCTGACCTAAAAGTTTGGTCTGGCCCCACCCTTTCTCACCCTTGCAAACCCACTGGCTTCATAACAAGTGGCCCAAATAAATCTCAGGATTTCCCCAATGTCAGTTCCATGGTCCCTGACTCTGGTCCCTGCCTTATCCTAACCCTCTGAAGTCTCATTCCTCTTGCCTTGTCTACTCAGCCCCAGGCGCTGCTCACCAGAAACATTGAGGCCCGGACTACAGACACAGGTCCAGTTGCCATCTTGGAGCACACACTCCTCCTCAGGTCGACAAGTGATCCCACAATCCTTTGGTGCAGTGGAGGGGTCTAGAGGGAAGAGACAGAGGAAGAGGATCAGGATGCAGAGAAGGGCGGGTCTGCGTCCTCCGGAGCCGACTCTCTCACTCATCCATTCTTTATAAAATATGAGGTGCTTGCCAGAAGAGCCAACCCTCCGATTTGTATCTTCCGATTCCCAAATCCAGAAGAGTGAGTAACATCCCTGAAGCTGCCAGGCCAATG